CGGCGTGTAGTAGTAGTGAGGATCACTAGCCCCTTCGCCTGGCTCCGCACCCGCTTCTACTACCTGCTCATCCGCCTCTACTTCGACCAGGAATTCAGCATTGAGGAGTTCACGCGGGGGGCCAAGCAGGTGAGCGGGCCTGGGACCTCGGGGCGAGGAGAGCGGCCGGCCTGAGGGGAAAGGTCCTGCTGACCCTCCCCGGGGGCTGCCGGTGCTCGCGGTTATTGCCATGGAATTATAGAGCCAGTTATGCTAGGAGAAGACTTCGTAGATAATCACAGATTCACGGAACAGGTGAGGTAGGAATGGATCACCGTAGGTCATCTGCTCCATCCTCCCTGCTCCAGCAGGGCCGTCCTAGAGCACATGGCACTGGATTGTGTCCAGACGGGTCTGGAATACTCCCAGTGAGGGAGACTCCACAACCTCTGGCATTCTGTTCCACTGCTTGATCATTCTCACAGTAAAGAAATCCTTCTTTGTGTTCATGTGCAACTTCCTGTACATCAGTTTCTGACTGTTGCCTCTTGTCCCGTTGCACCGAGCAGAACCTGGTCCATACTCTTGGCACTCCCCCACTTTAAATATTTATACACATTGGTGAAACCCCTCTCAGCCATCTCTTTTTGAGGCTGAACAATTCTAGTCCCATAAGCTTTTCCTGTAGGAGAGATGCTCCAGTCCCCCAATCCTTTCTGCTGGACTCACTCCAGGAGCTCCTTGTCTGTGTTGTACGTTCAGTCCAACCTATAACCAAACACCACTTTGTCGACCAATTTCTGGCATCAATGCCATGTCCAGTCATTCCTTAAACACTTCCAGGGATGATGACTCCACCACCTCCCTGGGCAGCTCATTTCAATGTTTGATAACCCTCTCCATGAAGGAATTCCTTCTGATGTCCAACCTGATGTTATTGCATGTGGGCATCGTAGCACTAATGCACTCCTCTGTGTAAAACACAAGGAGTTCCCCACTGCTGGCTCCAAGCACCACACTTTGAGGCAAATTATGTAAGCAGAGCTGTACTTTTCTTCAGGAAATTCTTGTTTTCCCAAATTCCACAATTAAAATGAACTGGTTAAGCCATTCCCCATAGTAGCATGAAAGAAGGTGCTTCCAAATGTTATGGAGACTTTAAGGAGAAGTGTGTCTCCTCTTAGCAGGTTTTCCTGGAATGATAAAGTTTTGTCAGGCATAGAGCTGGTGTATATATTTATTTCTCCAAATTTATGAGGCCAGAAAGCTTTGTCAACAGAATGCATCAAAGAAATAAGTATCTCAAAGTTAGTCATATGAAAACTACAGTCTGTTATCTTTGTTATCTATCCTATAACTTTTTATTATTATGTTTACTTTTAACAAAAAAAACCCAAAAAAACAGCTCGAAACAACACATCAGAGGACAGAATGTTAAAATGATCAGTTCAAGAGAGGAAAAAACCCACAACCTACAACAAATAATTTGATGCATGTGCAGAACCACCTGTTTTACCTTGTCCTGGTTTTTTTGGGTTTTGTTTTGGTGTTTGTTTTGACTTGGTGAAGATTGAGCTTCCTGAAGTCTAGAGACTAAACCAGATTTCTAAAAAAAATTGTAAATTGCAGCATCAATTTTGACTAAAACCAGAAGATAAGTTGCAAAAGAGAGCAGGGGAACAAAATACTTACAGGGAAAGACACAGACTGTTGGAATTATCAAAAAGAGTAAAAGCAACATACAAAATACTGCAAAGCTTTTTTTTTTTTCTTTTGTAAACTATGAATTAATTTACCTCTTGGAAGCTTTGATGTTTTAAACAGGAGATTGAAAAGAAATCATATGTTTTTATCAGTTTATGAAATCACTCTTGTAATGCTGGAGGGATTACATTTCAATGGTGAAACCCTCTGCAAGTATTGAAATCTTAAATCATGGAATATTTGGGTAGCTTGTCATATACTTATGGATTTGTCTGTAAAACAAGCCAACCTTGTTACTTGTTACTTGAGTTACTTGTTCATGTTTGGGTTTTGTTTCTGTTTTAATTTGGTAGGCCTTTTCTGTTGTTTCAAAGCTGCTGTCTCAGCGTAAACTTGACCTGCTGGAAGAACTTGTATCAGCAGAGGTAAATGCTTTCCATCTCCTACTCTAACAATTGATTGTCTGTCATAAAGTAACGTGGATGCATTCAGCCTGTCATTATCTGCAAGTTGCCAGTTCGGTTTAATTTGGGAAAAACAGCGTAATGCAACATAGGGTGGGCAATTTTTTGTCCTGCAGCTTTTATTTCTGTTTATTTTCAAAGCACAAAACTTAAT